CGCGGGCTCAGGCAATCCACTCACCTCAGCCTCCCAAAGGCGTGGGATTACAGGCTGAGCCACTGAGCCTGGCTGCTATTGAGTTTTAAAGACCAGAAAATAGACAAGACACTTTACCACTCACAATCCATGCGAGTCTGAACATCACTGGAAAACAACAAAGGTATTCCTTGAGCTGGGACCAGTTCCCAGTGTTACCAAGACTGTTTTCCCGGGAGAGTAGAGTCCATACCAACTTAGATTCAAAGAGGAAAGCAAGTCACAGGCCCCAGCATAATTTTAAAAAGAAAACAAAATGGCTCTAGGTCCACCTAACCAAAACAGTGAAACTTTAATTGGATCAGAATCACACCTATCAGGACCTGGGCAGTAGTACACTCCCATCCTCTTTATAGCACCAATTCCTTCTGAGGGGGCATTTTACCAGCCACCTGAGCAAGTGATCCAGCTATTTCCACACAGGCTACAGAGATGTCCCAAGCGTGGTCACATCGGCACCAATGTCCAGCCATACTCAGAGCTCAGAATTCTGGTTTAGTACCATTCTTCCCACCACCCCCTTATATACCACGAGGGACTTTCTCCTTCCTACCCCCACCAAACCCTGGAAGACCCGAGTTTACAGCTCCTCCTTCTCAGCCCCCTTCTTCTGGAAGGCAGTCAGGATGTTTAAGCTCTTCTGGAGCTCCTCCTTCTTCCCGTCACTCATCTTGTTCTTCTCTAACAGCTTGGCAATCCGGGTCATCTCTGATGCCGGGAAGTCCTCCCCTTGGTCTAAGACCTTCCCCATGATCTTCAGGTATTGCTCAGCCCACTTCTTCTCAGTTTCCTTCACACTTGAGAGGTTGTCCTGCCCCTGCTTCAAGAGGGCCTGACGGACCTCCACACCAGAGGCCCTGATGAACTCCCCAGCCAAGGAATCATATGCAGGCAGGCAACCAGGCATGCCTAGGTAGACCCCCTGCCCCTTCAGCCAGCGCTGGATGGCTCCAACCTTAACTGCCCCATTATACGGAACTGGGTTTTCAAAGTCCCCATCCTGGAAGAGGTAGAAGACTGGGTAGCTCTCTTTGTCCAGCTTATATTTCTCACTCAGCTCCATGTTCAGCTTGTCTCCATAATCTGTGAACAGAAACCAGGTATGAGGAGCAAGACATGAGAAACTCAGGGTAGGAAACTGATGGGGCCTATCTGAGCTGAGGGGAAGAATTTTCTTGGCTGTGATACGACAGTTCAAAGTGAGGAGTAACCCTACAGAGCTCGGTTTGAATTCTTCCTCTGCCACTTCCTAGCCATGTGGCAATAATTAAATCACTTAAACTCTGAACTTCATTTTCTTCATCTGAAAAATTGAGGATTCTTCTGAATATTTATTATATGCCCACTATGTGCCGGAGACTGTTCTAGGTGCTGGGGATCTTCTTGTCACTAAATCGAGTATCTAGCTCTCTGACTTTAAAGAGCTTATATTCTTCTAAGGTTGAGAAGAGAGAATAAAAAAATTAACATAAGTGACTAGTGCCACAATGAAAATAAAACGGGAGGCTGGATTCAGTCGCTCAGGCTGTAACCCCCGCACTGTGGAAGGCTGAGGCGAGTGGATTACCTGAGCCCACGGGTTTGAGACCAGCCTGGGCAACCTGGCAAGACCAGGTCTATAATAAATAAAAAATTAGCTGGGCGTGTTAGCGCTTGCCTGTAGTTCTGGCTACTTGGAAGGCTGAGGCGGAAGGATCACCAGAACCCAGCAGGTTGTCGCAGGGGTGACTGTGAGTGTGCCACTGCACTCCAGCCTGGCGACAGAGACTCCAGCTCAAAAAAAAAAAAGATAAAGGACTACAAGTACACAAGTGCTGAGGAAGGACTGAGCTCAGTATATTTAAGGATTATGAAGGCCAATGTGGCAGGAGCTTAGTGAGAAAGAGCACGTGGCAGATAACAAATACAGTCCTTCGCACTTAAGGGCCATTGGGAGGAACTGACGAGAGAATTATGCGTACAAGACCTGCCAGAGTTAAGTGCTTCATATGTGACAGTTGTTGTTAGTATTTGCGATGTTCTTCCTGACAGGCAGTGGCAGTCCCAGGGCTGATGCTGTGACAATTGATTCCTTACACTTTGCCAAGAAGAAACGGCCAAGACCAAATACCACTGGTAGTAGTGTTGGAAGCCTGAGATTCCAATCTTAGTGCTGCCATTTAAGAGATCTGCAATCTTGAGCAAGTTATCCTAAGCATCAGTTTCTTCATTTGAAAAATGGGGTAATATTACCAAAGAAATTCTTTCACAGAGGCGTCACAAGGATAAGACACATGTAAAACACTGAGCACAGTGGCCTGGCACACAGTCAACATTTGATATATGTTAGCTATTATTATTGTTGTTATCCTAAAACCACCAAGGGAACTGACCTGAAGTTGAGTTAAAATTGACTGACTTCCCTGGAAGCTCTCTCTACCTAGGACCAGACACTCTAATAAGTGCCCAGCTTACCAGGGAATGGAGGCATCCTAGCTTGGAGGAAAGTGAGATAGGTCAGAGCCTACTGCCTGGGACTAAAAACTTAGGTGGAGTTCCACATGAGCCACTCCACACCCCATAGCCTGAGACAAGTCATTTAAACTCCTTGGGTTTCAGTATTTCCTCCTGTATAAAATGGAGATAATGTTTTGCTTTTCAGGCAGGGTTCAAGTGAAGATTAAAAAATGGAAAAGAGCCGGGCTCGGTGGCTCAGTCTGTAATCCCGCACCTTTGGGAGGCTGAGGTAAGTGGATTAATGCCTGAGCCCGTGGGTTTGAGACCCGCCTGTGCAACTTGGCAAGACTTCATCTCTACAATAACTAACAAAAAATCAGCTGGGCATGGTAGCGCATGCCTGTAATTCTGGCTATTTGGAAGGCTGAG